ATAACAAAAAATAATATAAAATAATAATAATAATAATAATAAGAATTGTGTGCTATTATAAAAATAATAACTTTCTATATTGAGAATAAAACAAATGTGCTATATTCAACGCTATATCTATATTTTTATTAAAAATATAAATAAAGCATATAAGTCCAAGATGTTTCAAATTTCTAATCATTATTGCTATTTTCTTTTAATATAATAATTTACAAACCTGGTGGTCTATTCCATTCTGGTCGTGGCTGAGCACCTCTAGGATCACCTGGAGGTCCTCCAGGATGTCCAGGTGGTCCACGAGGAGGACCCTGACCAGGAGGTCCAGGTGGACCACCATGGAATTGCTAAATAAAGATACAAAAATAATTTTATTTTATATAAAAACCAAATATATATATATAGTATATTATTAAATATACCCTCATGCAAGTATACTAATCTTGAGAATTTATTATCTAAGACAATTATGTATTATGTACCAATTTCATATACATAATAGTCTTCATATACTCTGATCCTACTTTAAAAAATGTTATTGTTTCTTTTTCTAGTTGTTTTTTTTCTCAATGAAATAGATAAAACAAAAGAACTTCGTTATAAATTACCTGCAATATATAAGATAACTGATTTCTGAAACGTCTTTAGTATAATTTTATTCGTAATGTTGAACATGTAACTGCACAAAGTATTCAAACTTATATGATAATAATTAATTAAAGTTTTGAACAATTTAATCTAGACCATTTTCTAACACCAAAATAAAAACTAAAACTTTACAGAATTTAAATTTATATTTGTTTATGCACCTCTTAAATTTATTATATTCTGCTTTATTAGAATATTCGTTAAAGAAACTATTGATAACGATATACAAGAACCATGCTAACTGTTAAAAATGTATATTGACGAGAATTCTTTTTTATATAAACTCCATATTATATATTAGTTTAAATGAATATATACTTAGAGAAAACTGTACAGTATCTTTATTACATCTCATGCTAAATATTTATATAACGACGTACCATGCCTGGTGGTCTATGCTGACCGGGTCCTGGTCCTGGAGGCCCCTGTTGTGGTGGACCACCAGGTCCACTTGGACCCCTCGGTGGTCCTGGTGGACCATTTGGTCTAGGACCATTCCATGGTGCTTGTTGATACCCTGGTGGAGGAGGGCCTTGATTAGGATGTCCAGGTAAAGGATGATGCGGTCCAGGACCGGGACCCATAGGTGGTCCATGCATTCGAGGTGGTCCTTGTTGACCAGGTCCACCTGGTCCTCCGGGTGGGCCCATACCTGGTGGTGGCATCCTTTGTGGTCTGACACCTTGTGGAGGTCCCATCATCATTCTAGGACCATGATTTTGTTGCGAATGTTGAGGATGTTGAGGATGTTGTGGGTGTTGTTGATGAGGTGGCATAGGTGGTTGGTGTTGATGCGGATTATGAGGACGTTGACTCTGACTTTGCTGAGGAGCAGGCGCTGGTCGTGTCTTGCACTGAGATTCAAACTGTAAATATAACAAAATCCATCCATTATATAGACTTTATTTTATTAAACTTTTTAACTTTAATCTCAGTTACTTAATGCATCCATGTTATCTACCTGATTAAGAGCTTGCTTAGTTGGAAATGTTACAACCGGATTCTGACCGTGTAATTCTTTTTTAGGTAATCTTTCCATGCATATTCTCATGCTTTGTTCTGAACCCAGAGAAATTACGCAAAAACCTTTGGACTGTCCATTAGCTCTATTTTCAAAGAACTTTACTTCTACAAAATCAGATACGCCAATACTTTGAACTGCATCGGTTATGTCTTGGTCGCTCGTCCACTGTAAAAATAAAATCGAACCTAATTATTATAATCTAATAATTATTTTAATAAATATACATTTAATATATATAAATATATTGTTATATACCCAAGTTAAATTGCCAACGTATAGTTGATGACGTCTTCCTATTTGATTAGGTTGAATGTTGTTACCAAGCTGATGATATGGTGCATTCCCATTAGTCTCTTCGTTGGTCGATGTTGTGTCCCCACCTCCATCGCCAGCATTGCCACTGGAAACACCTCCATTTCCACCAGCCGGTGCTGCGATTACATCATCATACAAATCCACACCATCACCAGCAAATTCATCCTAAAGCATATTCGAAAAGAGAAAGAAATATTAAATAACATTATACATATAAATGACAGCACATGTATTACAATTTACCATGTAATAAAAGCATATCTCTGACAGCCATGGAATTACTCGCTTTAAATACAAAAAACTTAGCGTTGACAAATTAGATAGAAATTTCTTATTCAGATGTAATACGAATGAACACTTGAGAGAAATAAAAAAATGAAACAAAAAAAAAAAAAAGAAAGAAATCTTTTCTCAATGATATAAGAAAAAAGTTTATATTATTAAATACATGAAATATATATATCATTAGATTAGAACATGCAGTGCAAATGCAGTGCTCCATAAAACATAAAAATAGTATATAATCGAAGTGGAAATAAATACTACGACATTAATTGCCTTACCGCTAACACCATTTTGATTATTCCTGCTGGAAACCTCTATTAACTCTCGTATTTGTTCTAGGTCCCGAAAGTTTATAACGCGATGTACACAATACGCACTATTTATGTAACGTAGATTAACAATAAATGGTTTTTTTAATGACTACAGTTTATTCATTTATCAGATTGGTTTAACACAAAAGTAAATACACGATAATACTTTGAAAGTTTATATTTTAGGGTTAAAATGAAGACTTCGTCGAGCGATCGTTAACATCGCCTCCTCCATGACGCCGAAACACTTCGAAATTATACTAAACGCGTGGTACATATACGTGTGTATATTATATATATATATATATAGTATGTATGTATAATTTTTGCCTTTTCCTTTTAAATAATCACTATCGACTATCGATATTTTAAAAAATAATATTTACCCCCCTTAATAATTACGTATAATTATACAAACTTTGTATTATTATCTAAGATAAGATCGAATTACCTGCGCGAAATCTTGCTCGAGATCATCGGCGTACAAATCAATGTCACCGTCCGCCATTTTACCGACGCTAACTGCACCGCCAAGCCCATCAATTTCCTTCCTCGATTTTAAGAGGTTAGTACTCGAACGCCCTCTTATATCGTTAAAAGGCGCTCTAAAATCACAAGTTAACAAATACATTTTTCATTGGCAGATAGATATTTAAAAAAAAGAATAATAATAAAATTAATGACTAAATTATTACCTAGGTTAATTCAAATATCCTTTTTATCGACACAATTCTTAGTAATGAGAATGCATAATCTAAACGTGTGAACTTTTTTCTTGCTCTAGAATAATCTATAACAATAATCGAAAGAACAGAGTTAATAGAAGTGCATACTTTGCTCTCGTTCGTGGAAATAAGAATCTCCTATAAGCACAGTTATTATAAACACAGTTATTAGTAGTCAACTTAAAAATAAACTGGATATCGCGAATTTTAAATTTTCACTTACCAGATGTCGTTCTTTAAAATGAAGCCCTCTAGCTTCGGATATTAACGAATCAGAATTCACCTTTTTTAATGTAACATTTTATCGATCCAACGTAAGATCGGCCAATAAAAATAAAGTAAACGAAAATAAACTAACCGCATTGGTCGAAAATTTGATCATCTAAAAATAAGTAAGAATGGGTTTAAAGTTATTTCTATGAGATTCTTTCAGTGAGTGTGTATAACTTTAAATTTGATTGTCAATATACATCTGTCAAAATATTAGAAATGAATTGATATTAATGATTTCATGATACTTTTAGTTATATATAATTAGATATTAAAATAAATATTTGTAATGTCTTCAACACATTTGTCAAGTGGAAGATTAAATGTCGCTCTTATACAAGAACAAGCAAGAAAACAATTATTACATTTACTTGAACAATGCGATGGAACAAAGGTAATATAACTATTGACAGTATGATTAATATTTAATTATCTTATTTTCTATACGTACAATCTATTCTATTTTCACAGGCAATTATTTGGGACCAGTCGTTGGCTGGCCCAATTGGACTTGTCGCAAAGTATAATTTGTTAGAGGAGCACGATGTTGTCAAAATGTATCCGTTATGCGGTGGAACTTTATCAATACCATCCAATATCACAAATATTATATTTATAACAAGACCACAATTAGCTTTAATGGATTTGGTTGCTGACAATGTACACGGGTATACATTATTTTATAAATTTCAATGATTTTATTGATATCTATATTATACTTATAATACCTATTTATTTTAACAGAGAAGAAGGAAAAAGGCCTCGTAAAGAATTTCATTTATTCTTTGTACCTAGAAAAAGTTTGTTATGTCAAAAGAAACTTCAAAACCGAGGTGTCTTTGGCAGCTTTACATTAATAGAAGAATTCAAATGCGAATTATTTCCTTTTGACAGCGATCTTCTTTCAATGGAACTTAATGAATCGTTCAAAGAATTTTACTTGGAAAATGATCCTACTTGTTTGTATCAAGTAGCGCAAGCTATTCAAGGCTTACAAAAATTATATGGAAAGATTTCAAAGGTTACAGGCAGAGGACCTGCTGCTGCCAAAGTATGCGAATTATTAGAACGATTAAATCGTGAAGAAGAAGATAATAAAATGAATGTATTACAACCGACACCTATTGAACATTTATTGTTATTAGATAGATCTGTTGATTTATTATCACCTTTAGTCACTCAATTAACTTACGAAGGCTTGATAGATGAAATATTTGGGATAAAATATAGTAAAGTATTTTATATAAATTACTCGTTACTTATAAAAAATTTTTTTTCGTATACGTCAATGTCAAACAAATAAATTTCAGATACGGTACAGTTACCTGCTAAAAAGTTTCATGACACCGAAGACTCTCCAACTGTAATGTCTCTCAATGAGAAAGAACAAATTATACTTAACTCTGGAGAGGAATTATTTGCAGAAATTAGGTAAATACCAAGATTATCTATTCCTTGACATAAACATTTATATCTTTCTCATTTACAGAGATAAAAATTTTAATGGAGTAGGTCCAGTTCTTAGTAGAAAAGCTAAAGTTATATCATCGCAATTTGACGAACGACACGGAGATAAAAGTGTTCAAGAAATAAAACAATTTGTTGCTAAACTACCGCATATGCTGGCAACAAAACAATCTTTGGCGAGGCGTAAGTTATTCGAAATAGAGCATTAAAAGTCCATAATGTTACTAAAAATAACATAGTATGTTTCTTTGATAGATACAACGATAGCAGAAATGATAAAAGAAGTAACTGATTCTAACAGTTTTCTAGAATCATTGCAAATCGAACAAGAATTATTAAACTGTATAGATACAGACAAACCTAATTCATACATAGAAGATTTAATAGCTCAACAACAACCATTGCTCCAAGTCCTTCGCCTTCTTTGTATACAATCGTTAACAAATTCTGGTTTGAAACCTAAATTATTAGATTATTATAAAAGAGAAATAATACAAACTTATGGATATCAAAATTTACCAACATTATTAAATTTAGAAAAAGTTGGTTTATTGAAAACGCAACAATCTATGCGCCAATACACCGTATTGAGAAAAGCATTACGTTTAACAGTAGAAGATGAAAGCGAAATAACACCCAAAGATATTAGTTATGTTCATTCGATATATGCACCTCTTAGTATTAGATTGGCAGAACAATTGGTTCAGCCAATTGGTTGGCAAGGATTAAATGATGTAATGGGTTTATTGCCAGGACCTACAGTATCAAATGTTTCACACAATTTAGCATCAGTAGGAAGAAGTATAAACATTTTATTGCTTGTGTGTGTGTGTGGAAGTAGAATATTATATTAACAAAATAATAATAAACTTTTTTTTAATAGGAAATTCAATTACCAGTGAAGACTCTAACTCAGATCTACCAAAATTAATATTAGTATTCTTTATTGGAGGATGCACATTTGCTGAAATATCAGCCTTACGATTTTTATCTCAACAAGAGGATTGTAAGTATTACATTAAACAATAAAACTTGTACACACCATAAAAATAAATATCAATTAACTTTCTTTTAGTAAACGTCGAATTTATCGTGGGAACAACTAAGTTAATTAATGGTAATACATTCCTTTCATCATTGATGGAAAATATGGAACAAAGTTGATTTGATAAGCGATAAATAAATCTTTCTATATATTTACCCCAAACAAACGTGTCATATATATATAATATATACATCTATTAATAGATTTAATGAAATCGCAGGTATATAAATTAAATATAAAGTGTGCAATTATAAATTTTAAATGTGCAATTATAAATTTTAAATATGCAATTACGAGCACTTATTCATTTTTTTCTGCTGTTGCGGTTCTATGCCAACTGTTTTTTGCTGACTAACAACGGATTTGAATTCTTTATTTTACGGGGTAGTTGATTTTTATTTATGAAAGAAAATATAAGTTGTGTTGTGTGTTAGTTTGAGTGGAAATGGGAGATGAAATATTAACGACAGTTCACACTTACCGACAGTTCACACTTACCGACAGTTTACATTTACCGACAGTTCACACTTACCGACAGTTCACATTTACCGACAATGCTAGTAACATTAGTTCATAAGTCTACTAACGTAGAGCGCCACAGATCATCGATAGACGGCTCGACAGTCGTAACAGAACACGACGGTATAGGAAAGCGAAAAGGCGTGTAAAAATAATTTCGTTAATAATTCCTATCAATCTATAAAAATAAAACAACCTTATTGTGTCGTGTCGTGTATAATCAATCTCGATATTCATTGTAATTTAAACTTGTCGCTTTCCTGGTGCATTACGCGTGTGTGTGTGTGTGGGTGGGTGTGTGACGTGTGTATATATACGTGCGTGCATATTCTCTCTCTCTCTCTGTATATATATATATACATATATATATATTATATACATATACGTATATATTCATATTATACATATATATATATACGTGCGTGCGTGCGTGCGTATGTACGTTTGCGTGACACGTACGGGGCGTGTACGTCGTTTTCCGGGGTGCGGTGCATTTCTCATAGGAACCGAAAGATCTCTCACACGGATCAACGAAATCTTAAATATGTTTGATGGATCATCCTTAATAAGAAAACTAAGCTGCCTGGATTGAAGTGTAATTTTTCTTTAAGTTGCGCGCATGCCTCCGTGCTCCTCGCTCGCTCGCCATTTTGGAGGTGAATATTATTTTTTACCCTCTTTGCGTTTAGCTAGGAAAGAGTGAGTGAGTAAGTGAATGAGAAAGAAAGAAAGAAAGAGTGAGTGAGAAAGAGAAAGAAAGAAAGAGAAAGAGAAAGAGAAAGAAAGAAAGAAAGAAAGAGATCGTTCGTGAACTTGAACTGCATTTCGCCGGGAAGCACAGTTCCTCGTCCAGGACACGGGGATGTCATTAGACCAATGTGGACGCGCGATTATTTCTTCTTCTCTTCGATTAGAGTGACGACGACGACAACGACAACTACACAACTACTTAGAGGAGGACAATCTTCCTCTGGGGCTCCTCACCAATTCCTCGTCTGTCTCTTTCTTTCGTCTTTTTCTTATTCATTTTCTTATCCTCTCGTCTTTCTCATTCTCTCTCTCTCTCTTTCTCTCTCTATCCCTCTTTTTCTTTCTCTCTCTTTTTCTTTCTCTCTCTTTTTCTCACACACATATACATACACACACCTACCCACTTCCCTTCTCTCTCTCTCTCTCTCTCTCTTTTTCTCCTTCTCTCTATCTCATTCTCTTTCTTTTTTCTTCTTTCCCTATCTTTTTCTGCGTTCAATGCTTCGCGTTCGTTCGCTCCGACGCGATCCTCCCGAATGAGAAAAAAGACCCAACCCTCCTTACCACCCGCATTTTACATCTGCGAATTTAACGTCTAAACATTCTTAATCATTATTCTATTTAATTGCTCGATCAACAACCCGATAACATAGGCCCCCTCTCCTCGTTATTTCCATTCTTTATTATCGCTGGACTTCCCTTACCCCCCTCTTCCATTTTTCGTCTCCTGCTTCTACACTCCGACCCCCTTCTTCCTCCTTCCCGTAAAGAAGAAGAAAAGAAAAGAAAAAAAAAGAAATTTTCTTCACCGATTTCACGTGCGAGCGCGGAGAATGCGCGTTCTCGACATACCACTTCGACCGCCTTAGGTTCACCATTCCCCTTGCCTTAAAAGTAAACCCTTTTCCGGCGATTCGTATTCTTAAGAAGGATTCTTGAATAATACGTGTTGTGTTTGCACGATCAACAAGGATGATAATGATTACAATGATAGGTTTTTTTTTATTGTAGTACTACGATAGTCATGACAATTTTTTTGATATTTAATTTCATAGGTCTTTTCTTTTTTTTTTTTTTTTGTAAATGTGTCTCTTGATTGTTCACGAAGAGCACATACATTTCAATGGGATGTTTCCGTCTAATTTTTTCTGATTCCTTGTTGGTCCTATTCGATAAGATTTAAAGATCATTATTGTAAAGTGTCTTCTTGAGGGGTTTTATTTTTGTTTGTTTCTTTCTTTTTCAGATAGAATGTTATACCTGGGAATGGATTGACAGATAATTGTGAGGGTTTGAAGGAATTTGTATTTTATTTGATTATCTAATAAGAGAGAAATAGAGAGAGAAAGAGGAGACGGCACAACGTAAGGAGAAATAGGCCTCGGCCATTTAATAGATTAAATTTGTCTACTATGCCAGCCGTTTCAAGACCCGGTAGCCTTAAAGATCCAGAGATAGCTGAATTATTTGAGAAAAATGATCCGGAGAAAATATTTGAAGACCTTAGGGAAATTGGACATGGTAGCTTTGGAGCTGTCTATTATGCCCGATGTCTGGTTACCAAAGAAATTGTTGCTATTAAGAAAATGTCATATTTGGGAAAACAAACGGTTGAAAAGTGGCAGGATATTCTTAAAGAAATTCGTTTTCTTAAGCAACTCAATCACCCAAATACCATAGAATATAAGGGTTGTTACCTCAGGGACCATACTGCCTGGGTACGAGATATTTAAATGATTGTAAATTATTAGATATTTGATGTTTGTATTCTATCGTTAACACATGTTTTCTTTCTATAGTTGGTTATGGAATATTGTCTTGGATCTGCGTCAGACATTATAGAGGTACATAAAAGACCTTTAAAGGAAGATGAAATAGCAGCAATCTGCGAAGGTGTCTTACGTGGTTTACATTATCTACATTCTCTTGGAAGAATTCATAGAGATGTTAAAGCTGGTAATATTCTTCTTACCGAAAATGGTACTGTCAAGTTGGCTGATTTTGGTTCGGCTAGTATTAAATGTCCAGCTAATAGTTTCGTCGGAACTCCATATTGGATGGCACCAGAAGTGATATTAGCTATGGACGAAGGGCAATATGATGGTAAAGTTGACGTATGGTCGTTAGGAATTACATGCATCGAACTAGGTTTGTTTAATTTAATTTTAATTCTTCTTCTTCATAATACTTTATAATATAAATCTACTAAGTTTTATATGTTTAATTATTATTTCAGCTGAAAGAAAGCCTCCTTACTTTAATATGAATGCTATGAGCGCTTTGTATCATATTGCACAAAATGACACTCCTGCTTTGAACTCGCCAGATTGGACAGATGTTTTTCGACATTTTGTTGAAGTTTGTCTTACAAAAAGTCCTAATGATAGACCAACATCTGGTACACTCTTGTCTGTACGTTATTTCTATATTATTAATATACAATAATCGAATGGATTAGATATTTAAATAATAGTCTATATAAACTTTTCATCTTGATAGTTTTTATTATAAAACAAACGTACTGTGTCTAGTTTATTATCTTCTTATAGATTATTTATTTTACAGCATCAGTTTGTAACAAGAACACGCTCTCCACAAGTTCTAATAGATTTGATTCAAAGAACTAAAGCTGCTGTTAGAGAACTAGATAATTTAAATTATCGCAAGATGAAAAAGATTTTAATGATAGACGCGTGTGAAACTGAAAGTACAGTTGGGGATGCAGATGGTATGCATATTATCGATATCATTGAAATCAATTTATTTTATACTTAAAAATTTTGTTATAATAATGTTAAATTTTAATTACACAGATACTCCTGACGAACAAACTGGTGGTGATAGTAGTAAAAGTAATTCAATTACCTCAGAACATTCGATTCATTCAATGGGTGTATCAGCGAGTTCTCAAAGTTCCTCCACAAATAGCTTACCACTGCCTAATGCAGATTCCAATGATTATTCCACTGGTTCTGTTAGAAATCGACATAAAATAACAACTGGTGGTGTCACCGCTAATCTGTTAGAACATGGTGCCAATAATTTTGCAACCATTAGAACAACATCGATCGTGACTAAACAACAGAAGGAACATATGCAAGAAGAGATGCATGAACAAATGAGTGGTTATAAGAGGATGAGGAGAGAACATCAAGGAGCTTTGGTAAATTTTTAAATAATATTTCTATTCAATATATTTAATGTTTAAATCTTATGATTTTATTTTATTCATATATATATATATATATATGTATATATAGGTCAAACTAGAAGAACGTTGTAAAATGGAAATGGAATCCCATAAACAATTATTAGATAAGGAATACGAAACGTTATTGCAACAATTTAGTAAAGAATTGGAGAAATTACAGCTTAGGCATCTTCAAGAATTGGAACGTAAACTTAAACAGAACCAAAATGCAGAGAAGAAATTACATAAAGAAATTACATGTAGACAAGAAGCGGACCGTAAAGCTCTTGAAGCTCAACAGAAACGAGAGTACAAAGTAATAATATCATTTAAGATTTTAAAATCAATTTATTTTATTTCAATCAAAAGATTCTATATTAATTGATGATTATTATTATTATTATTATTATTATTATTATTCTATAGGCATACAAAGAAAGATGGAAAAAAGAACTTTCTCAGGACGAAGTAACACCAAAGCGACAAAGGGATGCTACTCTTCAAAGTCAAAAAGATAATTTAAGACAAATGGAGGCACAGGAAGAACAACGCTTAACTAGAGGACAAAGAGAATATCTTGATCTTGAGATTCGTAAATTTAGAAGAAAAAAGTTGCTCATCTTTCACAGTCTTGAACAAGAGCTTTTACGTGAAGTTAGTATAGGTCATTGTTTATGTTTAATAATGATTTCATCGATTTTATGATTTTTAAATTTATATTTTAGGAATTGAACAAAAGGCAACAACAATTAGAGCAAGCGCATGCCATGCTGTTACGGCATCATGAAAAGACTCAAGAATTAGAATACAGACAACAAAGAGCGGTACATGCTCTTAGAGAAGATCAAGTTCTTAGACAGCATGCTACCGAACTTTGTAATCAACAGGATTATATGCAACGGGCTGAACGTGATTTACGTAAGAAGCATGCACTTGAACTGAAGCAGCAGCCAAAGAGTCTTAAAGTAAGAAATATCACATATAGAATTTATTTCTATATATAAATATAATATCCTTAATTTTAATATTAATCGCGTTTTAGCAAAAAGAAATGCAAGTTCGCAAGCAGTTTAGGGAAACTTGTAAGATACAGACTAGACAGTATAAGGCATTAAAAGCACAGATATTGCAAACAACTCCAAAGGATGAACAGAAATCAGTTATTAAGAAATTAAAGGAAGAACAGAGGCGAAAACTTGCACTTCTAGGTGATCAATATGAGCAGAGTATTGCTGAAATGCTTCAGAAACAAACCATACGATTAGACGAATCGCAAGAAGTCCAGTGTCATAATCTTAAGGTTGAATATTTTATTCAATATCTTGTGTTTATTCGTTAACATTTAAATTGATCAAAATTAATTAAACTCCGTTAAGTTTTTTGCAACTTTATATAATTAAAGATATAATCGATAATTTTTAACAGGAAAGATTAAATTACGAATTAGAGATTTTGATCGCGTATCAATCTAAAAACAAAATGCAAGCCGAAGCGCAGAGGAATCGTGAACGACGTGAGTTGGAAGATCGTGTATCAGTGAGACGAGCTTTACTCGAACAAAAAATGGAACTCGAAACGCAAGAATTTCTTCGCGAGCGCAGCGAACGAATACGTTTGTTACACGAAAGGCAAGAACGCGAATTGCAACAATTCGACGAGGAAAGTGCAAGAATAGGATTCAGGTAAATATTTATCAACATATTTACTTTTCTAACATCTGTCATCTATTAAATCTATTTAAATACTAAAATTGAATATCTTTAAGCTTATTATTAACTCATTTTAACATTTCTTGCATTTATATGCAACAAGCGAGAGAATTTTAATTTCAATCGTAGTAATATATCATTATTTGCAGATATGAGCCAGCGATTACAAAAGTAGTAATTTTTAAATTTTAATATATAAATAGATCTCGAAAGAAAAAAAATCTATAACTGAGAGATTACTTTTGTAATCACCAACTCATTAATAAACCTTATATTTACTCTAATAATTCATTAGATTTATATTATATCGTTATCTATATGGTGAAATAATTTTCAGTGCTCTGGCGATAGCAGAAGCATCAAAAGAATCATATCCAGATGATGAAAGCCTTAGTGGCTCAATGTTAAGTCTGGCTCACAGTAATAGCTCTACATCCTTCCCCCCTAATAGTCTTTAATTTTAATTATATTAATAGAATATGTATGTATGTGTGTGTGTCTGCCTGTAGTAAGTACATAATGAGTCTGCCGATCTATAGTTCTATGACTTATACAGATAAAACAGTGGTTGGGCTCATTGCGTGCATTAATTCAAACCTAAAAGAAAAGAAAAAATAATAATTAATAAGATTTTAGGATTGGAAATGTGTATTGGACTGAAGTTTAATCTATTTGGATATACTTCTTTATTATCGAAATGTCAACACAGAAGCTAGCTCTTGGTTTGAAGAAATATTCCTTCATATTGAAGGAAAATTTAAATGCTTTTTACAGCATTGTAATTATTAATCTCATCCTCTATATCATATTTAAAACAAACAAAAAAATATAATAATAATATTAATAATA